CGAGAGACCAACACAACAATTCCCGCGAGCGGGACGAGAGGGGAGATGTTGATCGGGACTATCGCAAAGATACCAGACAAGAGTCTGGCCTGCGTCCTCATGACATACGGGTATCAGGCGGACACGAAGGATACAGACGTGTAAAGGCTCAACCTTCTTTTCCTCGTAACACATGCGTCTGCTACTGTTCGGGTGATCATATCGGAAGAGATTGCCCTGATCTTCAGAAGGCAATAAACTCTGGCATAGTGAGAATTAGGGACCGATAGTGCGTCAAGAGAAACGACGATCTGAGAGATGCATCCGTTTTTCCTTCGAAGAACGACGACGTCGAGGTCAGACGAGCGTCGTCGGACGAGGTAGAGGCGATCCCAAAGAGTCGGAGTGTCAGGATTTTCTTACCATCGGTTGCCAAGACGCCTATAGTGTCCAACCGCGTCGCCTCTACCAAATCATCGTAGGCTCTTCTCTCAAAGGAGAGGATTGTCCCAGAGGATCAAGAGGGAGAGGAAGAGGAGCAAAAACGAGAGTTTGAGGGAGTTGCTGAAACTGTGACAACGCCCTTCAGGCAAGCGCTTAGCCAGTGTATGCGAAGTTCCATACGGGAAACGCCCAAGCGAATGCAAGATGAACCTACGATTCTTATCGATCCCGAGCGAGGAAAACCGATACCTTTGACCGACGAGATCTTCGCTGATTCTAGGTCGTTAGCGGACAAACCCCTTGCCGACGTCGTTCCAATCGCACATCAGTCATGACCTCGAGCGTTAGAGCGGACTGTACCATGCCCGTTTTCTTTGATGCGCGAGAGAGCGTGCCTCATGACATATTCTACGTTTCTAGAAGTGGTATCAGGGGGACTGTACTTGACGATCAGGTGGTTCCTTGCGGAGTAGTGGATAACGTCAGGGACTGTCGAGCCATGTAAGCACCGACATGAGGAGTCGCGCGTGTGTGGTCATTATAAATCTTATACCATTTGTCTGTCTGAAATGATGCGGGCTCGACAGGGGCGTCGAGAAGTGGTCTGGGCTAACTGTCAGGCGGCCACAGGCAGTGCGCTCCCTGAAATCTGCGGCTTTGGGGCTTAGGCTCATGGACAAGTCCGTGTTTTGACGGTACTCTGGTATGACCAGGCAACATAAATTAGGGGAGCTCAGGGCACCCCTGATTTTGGGCGCACTGAACCTTACGAGTAACCCTCAAAGATGGTGAGATGGGTGGCCGCACTCGGCGCATCTAGGGACCGTCATTCCCGACCGTTCAGAGGGTTAGACCCGGATTGGCCTGCCGCGGAGAGGCATCGCGGGAACTGACCTCGCCGCAACGTTTTTGCGACATACGACCAGGGCCGAAATGAGGCCTCGAATTTTTGTATATTTCAGTACTATAATTAAAGATGGGGAAAAGGGATTACGACCAGTAGGGGAGAAGGGAAAAACATAATATCCCTGAATTTTTTTATTTTCACGGCATTTAATTCTAGGGGGAATACCCTTGTTATTTTATGTTCCCGACAATGAAATTAAAAACATAAAAAAATATTAAAAATGGTAAAAGAGAAAAGAAACAAAAGGAATTCGGCCATTTATTTAAACTTTCTCGGAATTTAATTTTGGGGAACTTACGGTTAATTTACTATTTCCGACAATCGAATTAAGGAAAGGGAAGAATGATGAAAAACAATGAAAGGGACGGGATCCCATGACTATTGGGAGATTGGCCTAATTTCGGCTCGATTACCCACCATCAGCTCTGACCCTTGATTGAACATTTTCCCCGGATTTTAACAGTTTTCACTATTGCCGATGGTCGAGGTTCCCTGCGTCGCTTTCCCTGGTTTTCTTGATTACTAACATTACCGCAGGTGGGATGTTATGAGAGCGGGAGTCGCATGGACAGCATGGGGTGCCTGGGGTGGTGCTACCTTGGGTCGACTAAGGTGTTTGGTTCGGTACGGATACGAGGGTTGTTACGGAGTGGCTACGTCCTACGGTGTCTGACGTGCTTCAGGTACGGTATGAGCCCCGTGACAGCTGTTTCACTACGGTGACTTATTTTCAAGTTTGGGACAACTGCGGTGATTTATTCTCTGGACCGGGGCCACTACGACAGTTATTCCAAGTTTGGAACCTTGGCGGCAGTTTGTTTTCAGGTCCGGAAACGTTGCGGCATTCTATATCAGGTTCGGGACAGGTACGAAAT